AGGCCACCCGAGCTTCCTATGTTTGACTATACTGCATCTTAATCCTCAAAGTGACATCTTTGCCCTCTATTATTTCAAAGAGGTCCTTTGCAGTGGTTTGTCCAATGCAATATGCCATTTTATTTCTTGCCTCTTGCTTCCATGGACATTGTATATTCAAGGAAAGTGTAATCCATCAGATAGAGTAGCACAACTGTTCTCTCCTAAATCTATTTAATCCCTACCTGTCTTTGTTCTTGGGAGTTCTCATCCAGTTAATTCCAACTTTCTTGTCATTAATGTTGTTATTTCTCAAGATGACTGACCTCTTGAAGGGTCTGATTGAGGTTATTATCATTTCTGGGAATTCCTCAAAGGGATTCAGAGGAAATGCAGGTGGATGGCCAACATGAAGCTTTCTATTTCTTAAGTCTGCAGCCTGACTACTTATTCATTGACCTAGCAGTCATTCACGCACTGGACACCAACTGTGAGCAAGGCATGCAGCTCCCACCCTCACGGGGATCACAGTCTAGATGTACATGGGAAGGACTTAGGGTGCAGCATGACCATGGCATGCCGTGGAGGAAATTCTGATTAAGAAGGCTTGGAAGAGTGTACTGTGGACATTTAGGGTATAGACTGTAAGGACAGAAATTCTTTGTGTGAGGGCCAACATGCGCAAAAGTTGAGAAAAACAGTGTAGGACAGGAACAATGCAGAGAACTGCTCCGTTTCCCTGATACTAGATAGAATGCATGAGGAACAGTGAGGGGAGCAAGGCTGAAGAAGAGAAAGATTGTACTGTGAGCAGAAGGCCTTGCACATCCAGAGTTCAGGCTTCTAAATGTAAAAGCGGGTCCATCAGGAAAGTTTGAGTATGGGAACTGTAGTGTTAGCAAAGGCCTTTCCTCTCTGGATGGTTCTTAGATTCTCACTGCCCAGTACTGGAAGGGACCTATTTAACCCAGTCCTCACATCATTCAGATGAGAATGAGTGAGTTTGTGACAGGGTTTTTTAAAATTATTTTTTTAATTAATTTTAATGAAAGTTTACAGAGACTTAGTGTTTCCAATCATCCATTGTTGCATTTTTCTCCCAGCCCAGCCTCCCCCCTCCCCAATTTGCTCTTCTCCTTGCAAAGTAGAAGAAAAAACTCTTTCATTGTTATGCAATCCCTCCCTCCAAGTCCATGCCACTGTATAGCCTTCATTCTGGACTCCTGTCATGACAATAATACCCAATCATATATCACTTTTAAACAGTTTTCTCCCTCATCTGTTTCAATGCAGTATACATCATTCCTCCCCTCCTTCTCTGCCTTCCCCCAACCCTGATTGCAGTCCCATTTTACAACAGTGGCCCTATGCAATATTGGTCCTTTTGTGACCGAGATATTTCACTCAACATCATGTCCTCCAGGATCACACATTTTATATAATATTTCGTGAGTTCCTTGTTTTTCAATGCTGCATAGTATTCCATTGTGTGAATATACCACAGCTTCTCTATCCATTCGTTTGTTGATGGTCACTTGGGTTGTTTCCAGCTCTTTGCTATTGCGAACAAAGCCACAGTAAACACAGCTGTGCATATATCTGCTTGGGTGGTGGTTATGGTTTCTTTAGGGTAAATTCCCAGTAATCAAAATCAGGATGTTGGGGGATTTTTCTCCCATACAGTTTGACACTCAGAATATTATGATCTTTGCGTTTACACACTGGCAAATGCTAACAGCATTTAACTATTAAGGTCCACAACATTAGTCTCTTTTTTTAAACGGGGAATATTTGTGTAATCTATGTTATATGGACATTTTAATAGATTAATGCTGTAGGTTTTATACTTCACAAGGGTAGATTTCATACAGAAAGCAATGGTTGCATTAGTAGAACTATTTTTTATAAAGTTGGAAAGGCATTTAATACCATTTGCATTAAAATTAGGAGTAATGCTCACTTTGACCTCCTGTATATAGTGCTTATGAAGGTAAACTGAGCTGTATGAAATCTCTGGTCACAGAAATATAAGATAGTATTCAACCCTTCTATTGACCAGTAGTGTATGTTCTCTTTAAGACAATTGCAGACAAGTAGTGACTTGGAACATGAGTATGTAAAATGCAGCTGCTCATTGTATATCTGTGTTTCTGAATCTCTGCAATAAACACAATGACAAGTTGAATTTGTTGCTCTTGTTCAGCACATTTACATTGTTATTTGCAGCTTTATGCAGATAAATGTAGAGTGGGAAGTATGGGAACACGTTTCTATTTAGATCTCTTCAGTTACTTCACAGTACTGAGCTGCTGTAGATATTTTGAAAGTATTTGCCACTTAATTAGGTTCTGTTTTAAAGAAGAGGGGGTGTTTGTTGTTGGTTGCCATCTTGCCATTGACTCAATTCCAACTCATGCTTCTGTTGTTGTTAGATGCCGTTGAGTGAACTTAGCGACCCTGTGAACAACAGTTCAGAACCTTGCCCTATTCTGTACCATCCTCACCAAGTCTGCCATGTTTGAGCCCATCATTGCAATCAGTGTTTTGATCCAGCTTATTGTATGTCTTCTCCTCGTTGGCTCACCCTCCACCTTTCCAAGCATAATGACTTTCTCCAAGGCCTCACTCCTAGCAACACATTCAAAGTATGTGACACAGAGTTTCGCCATCCTTGCCTCCACAGAACATTCTGACTGTACCTTCTCCAAGACATATCTGTTTGTTCTTTTGGCAGTCCATAGGATACTCAATACTCATCTCAAACACCACATCCCTCTTTAGAATGTAACTATCTTATTTAAAATATAACAGCCTTGATAAGAGTTTAACAGAGTAGAACTACCTTGTAAGAGTTTTAGGCTGTAATCTTTCCAGGAGCATATTACTTAGTCTGAGTGGGTTTGATCAGTCAACCTTTTAGTTAAAACATTTTAGTTTGTGGTCAAGTGCAGAACCGTAAGTCCCAGAGAAATGATGTGATCTTTTTTTGTCAACAAATATGGAATATTTCCTCTGTGCCTGAACACTACGCTGAAAAAAGCTAGTCTAGCACTGTACATTCATAAATAATGTTCATTTCCTTCTTACTTGAGACAATGCTTTAGATTCTTGTTGTTATGTGCTGTCATGAGTCGTTTGCAACCCATGGAAGAGGCTGTTCTGGAAAGACTTTTTTTCCCCATGACAACCACTAGGTGTCAGCAGAGGACATGGTATGCAATATCTGCGTTCCTGGTTTTCCATTTCATTACAACCCTCTCCCACTGGAACTTAAAAAAAGGCAATAGGCAGACCTCATTTGGGTCACCTTCTCCTAAATATCAGTGTCAAACACTTTCTCCTCAAGACTATACTGTAATAAATTCCCCATGCCTTATAAAAGTGACATTAATTCCTTGATTCCCTCCCTCCCTTCCCCAACCATCCCTTTTAAGACTTAATTCTGACTTTCCTGGCTTGCAGTGGGTCTACATATAGAATAATTGGGGGTTAGGAGTGTATCACCAGGCTTTTGAAATCACTGATACTTTGTCACCAAATAAATGGAGACACAGTGGCATCCACTTCCTAAACACCATGTCTCTGGAAACTATATGAACTTTGATAAATGTTGATAGTTATAGAAAGGCTTCAGGCCTTTTGTTCATAGAGTTGCTATGAGTCGTGCTTGACTTGACAGCAATCAACAAACAACAACAACAACTTTCACTTTCAAATAATATGATGATGCTTGCTAGCTCCAAACCTTAGAAACACGTTTTCAGAGGATAAAGTAGGGGACCTAGGCGTCGTCACTCACTCAGCTGTTTGGTTTGTTGTACAGCAAGTACTCGGTGGTGTTCACTTATATATACACTAAGGAATCAGGGGTTGAGTGATAGCAGACACTTTGGTGAGGTGGGTATTGGTTTGTAGCATGCTGTTTTCATCACTTCGTGCTGCTTCACTTAAGCAGGCAGGCTGGATGAGGATCCGAGGTGTTCATTACAGAGCATGGGGTGAGAAGTTTGAGCAAAACTGGAGAAGTGCGTGCACTCTGGCAACTAAGCATCTTTTTATTTTTCTTTTCTATTGTGATTTGGATGAATTTTTTTTACAAAGCAGAATAGTTTTTTTCATTTATATATGCATATACATTTGGTATTACAACCTAACTTACAACAATTCAAAATCGGATTCATTGCCATCGAGTCAGGGCAGCTCATAGCTGACCTTCCAGCAAGTTTTCCAAGGCTATAAATCACATAAGAGGAGCCAGTTGTTGATTTCGTCCCTTTAACTATCTCCCAAGCTGGTCTCTAATACAGTTTATAATAAGCTAGTAAAACATTCAAACTGGCAGCTTCCAATGGATCAACCATTAGGGGCTTGAAAGAAGCCAATGTGGTTGGGTACAAGTGTGATAGAAGCTAGTAGAAAGACAAAGGCTGTCAGTTACTTTTTGACCCTTGAACAAACTTATTGACAATATTCATTGTTCAGCCAACAATAAGGAGACATACACTCCTTAGGATAACCAACCATAGAAAGTAAAAAACCCAGCATTTGTCCAAGGACAAAGCCCTGAAGGCAGAAAGGGGGAGGCTAGAAAGAACAATAGAAATGAGAATCACAGGGAAGGAGTGGGGAAAGTGCAGTTAACCTGTGGGTATTATAGGCAGCTCTGGTGGCCTAATGGCTAAGGGGTTGCACTGTCAACCCAGATGCAAGCAATTTGCTTCCACTAGTTGCTCCTCAGGAGAAAGATGGACAGTCTCCTTCTGTGTAAGTTACAGCTTCTAAAACCTGCTGGAGGGGCAGCTATGAGTCATTTCAGACTTGATGGCACATAATGATCATGACGATAACATTGTTTGCTTGATACAGTAACTATTACTGAGATCAGGTCTCATTGTGTAAAAGCAAAATGTTTTTCCTTTAGGTCATAGTCTCTGGAAACCCGACTCTTTCAATCCAAGCCTGGTGGCCTGAGTCTCCCCTCTCCCAGCAATCCTTTCACACTCTTTTCTGCTCCTTTTTAGATCACTGGGGTGATCCTGCTGGCCGTTGGAGTCTGGGGCAAACTCACTCTTGGCACCTATATCTCCCTCATTGCCGAGAACTCCACCAATGCCCCCTACGTGCTCATCGGAACCGGTACCACTATTGTCATTTTTGGCCTGTTTGGATGCTTTGCCACTTGCCGCGGCAGCCCATGGATGCTGAAACTGGTGAGTATATCACAGCCTAAGAGGTACCTTTTCATTTACTTTTGTTATTTTTGTATAAATCCTATGAAGAAGTGCCTCTTCCTGGGGCCACATACAAGGCCATACTATTCATTGACTCAAATTTTAGTCCAGATCCTTACCTTATCCACCCTTCAAACTCTCAGAGGGAAGAAGAGCCTTAAAATCCAGGCTCACATAATACATTCAGTCCCAGGCCCTTAAGGTATGCAGATGCTGACAGCAGTGCCTGACAATGCTGGTAGGCCATTGATAGCCTCATGGCAAATGCCCTGTTCACTTTTGACCTCTCTCTTAGAAATCTCCTCAAGCATGTGGGCATGGCGGCCTCCTGAACATAAGCAGCTTTTCAGTTCAAAGTTCTTGTGCTTTTTGCCTCCCTGAGCCTGAGCATGCTTAGACGCACATGTGTGCTCTCCTCTAAGCGCCATGGGTATAGAGCGAAACAAGAGTCAGAAGAGTCAGTGGTGGGTGTCTGGACTCTCATAGAACCGACAAAGCTGAGATGTTTCCCAACAGGTAAACAAGAACTAAAGCTGTTGAAATAATGTTACTGTGATCCTTAGTTTTTCTGTGAGACCAGTTGCCTAATACTTTACGCACTGCTCATGCTCTTTCTTCATGAAAAGTATTACTGAAGGCCTTTATAGGTAAAGGTTAGCAAGGGCCTCTCCTTTAAAGGAAATTTATTTCAAAGATTTGTTTCAGATGCTCTCATTCTGAGAAATCTGTCAAGGAGCTCTCTCAGATGTTCAGAAACCTGTCAAGGACCTTTCTAAGGTATTAAGGAGCAATGATGTCAGTTTAAGGACTGAGGTGCACCTGATTCAAGCTATGGTCTTTTCAATTGCTTGCTATGCATCTGAAAGTTGGACAGTGAATAAGGATAATAGAAGAAGACTTGATGCCTTTGAGTTCTTGTGCTGGAGAAGAGTACTAAACAGACTACCAAAAAAACAAAGAGATAATGTCCTTGAGGAAATGCAGCCAGGGTGCTTTTTGGAGCAACAGATGATGAAGCTTTGTCTCACATATTTTGGGCATGTTGTTAGAGGGACTATTCCTGGGAGAGAGACATCATGCTTGGAAAAGTGGAGGGTCAGTGGAAGAGGGGAAGACCCTTAATGAGATAAACTCCGACACAATGACTACAGCAGTGAGCTTGACCATGGCAGAAGATGAAGAAGATGGCACAGGAAAAGAGCAGAGTTTAGATCTGCTCTTCATCAGTTCACTGTGAGCTGTCCTTGACTCAATGGCACCTGGCAACAATAGCAGCAATATTTTTATGCCTGAATCTGTCATTAAGTATTACTAGTATATTGCCACATTATTGACACTGAGTCATCTCTACTCCTTTTCTCACAATGTTGTTGTTATTGTTAGGTGCCATCAAGTCAGCTCTGACTTAAAGCAGTCAGTACAGCAGAATAAAATCCTGAATGATCCTGCTCCAGCCTCCTAGTCTCTGCTTGGCTTAATATGCCCACTTATTTGTAGTCCCTGTTTCAGTCCATCCCATTGAGAGTCTTCCTCTTTTTCACTGTGGTGGTCCACAAGAAAGGAACCACCATTCAAGCTAATGCCGATCAATCTGTTGGCAACTTTAACACATTGCTGCACACTTTTAAAATTGACGACCGTGCTTAGAATTACATTTGCCGTCATTTGCGGCAACGTGTTAAGGAAATTGTGCCCGGTTGGGCCAAGTTCTGTCCTATTCATGCCTGAACCACCACTGACTCTTCTAAGCCTGGTGAAAAAGCCATAGAAAGGCCATAGTGAGGGCTTCCTGCTACTCTATCCCAGCACCCTGAGTCTACTTTTCAGTACTTACTATATGCATGATCCTCAATACTTGGTGCCTATTTAAACCGCCTGGACAGTTTTTAAAGCCCCCCACCCCCTCCTAGGCCATGTGCTTCCTCTGACACATTGAACTGAAAATTCTGGTGGCAGAACCTGGACATCACATTTTGACATCTTTGTAAATGCTCCCTCAGGAGATGAAACTGTCCAGTCATCACTGAGAGCCTGTTTAGCCATATAAGAAGCAAGTGGGGCATTAAATATAGAGGCACAGAAAAGAATTGCTTTTAAAAACCCACGTGTCTTGAGACAAAGAGTTCTAACTCTTTTTTTGGAAGCAGAACCTGCATGTGTATTTGTATGTGAGGGAATCAATTTTTCTCACCTCTTGTGGTTTCATATCATACTGTCATTTTCTGCCCCTAACACTTCCAAGGTCTCTGTAGGTACGCCTATGGGGTATATCTCAACTGTCCTCGAGTCACTTCCGATTCATGATGACCCTCCTCTGAATTTCCAAGCTTGTAAGTCTTTACAGGAGAAATTGGCCTTGTATTTTTCCTGAGGGGCAGCTGGTGGATTCAAACTGCTCACCTTTTTTGTTAGCAGCCTAACACATAAAGCACTATGACATCAGAGCTCCATTTGGAGACTAGAGGAGTCCTTTCTCTCATGGTTTGTTGGCATTGTTTTCATGTTTTAAGAGCTCCGGTGGCCTCGTCCATAGGGAGTTGTGCTGTTAATCCAGAGGTGGTGCCTCTCTAGCTGTTTGAATCCACCAGTGGCTCCAAGGGAGAAAGATGGCCCGTCTCTTCCTATGTCATGTACAGCTTCAGAAACCTGTTGGAGGGCCATGAGGGTAGTGAGTTCGTTTGGAGATTAACATTTAGTTCCTCTATGTGCTAGACACTGTACCGGGTTCATTTTGCATTTTTTTTTCCCTTCCTCACAACCACTAGTGAAGTGATGGGAAACTTGGAAGTTGAACACCCTGCTTAAGTCCCCTCACATCTACCTAATGAGTGGAGACCTTGAATTTGAACTCATATATGTTTACACAATGCCTGTTTCTAAAGCCAGGACTCTGTCTACTTCCCTACCATGTGTATTAGTACAGTCTCAAGCTCTTCCCCATAGCCTTTGACCAAGACCTTCTGAAAACAAAAATAGCCGCTCTTTGGAAGCTTGAAGAGATGGAGAGTTTCTGAGAACCAGAGCTCTGCTGCCGAGATGGCTGATGAGAACAGAAGCCAATTGGTTAACAGGCTGAGATTTCACAGTCCTCCTTTAACTCCATTGATCTCAAAGCAATTGCAAATACAGGTTTGTACATTTTGTAGGCACAGAGAGGCTGCCTCTCTCCTAAGGATTAGTCCTGTACAAGGTTTTAGCACACAAACCTTGGAAGACTGTAGATTCTAATGCCTTTGCTCCCTCTTCCCTCCTCGCAGTGACTTTCCTGCAGAACTTTCGGCTGCCGTCTAGGCCTTCTGCAAGATCTTCCTTATGAAGTGTGTGTCTAGTTGCTTTTTGTTAGATATTCAATGAGAAATTGTATACTGTGCATGAAGCCATTTTTCTCATAGGTGCACGTTTGGTATTTGGGTGTGTTATATGAGATTTGTTGTTGTTGTTATGTGCCATCGAGTAATCTACAACTCATAGTGACCCTATGTACAGCAGCCCTAAACCCTGCTTTATCCCTTGCCAATTTTATTGTCTCCAACAAACCTATCCACATTACCCCAGTGACTGAATTAATCCATCTCATTGAGGGTCTTCCTCTCCTGCATGATCCCTCCACCCTCCCAAGCATGATGTCCCTCTCTAAGGAGTGGTCCCTCCTTGCAACATGTCGAGAGAATGTCAGATGAAGCTTCAGAATCCTTGCCTCCAAGGAGCAGCCTGGCTTCACCCTCTCCAGGACAAACTTGTTTGTTCTCCTAGCAGTCCATGGCATATTCAACACTCTTCTCCAGTACCACAGCTCAAAAGCATCAACTCTCCTATCATCCCTAGTCATTGTCCAGCTCTCTGATGCATAGCAAGTGATTGCAAAGACCATAGCCTGGATCAGGTGCACCTTAATCTCTAGACTGACATCGTTATGGCCAAGGGAAAAGATGTCTTCCCAACAAGTAAAGCTAAGTAGATGACTGGGGGGAGGGATGGATGGAGAACTGGAGTGGGCCCACAGATGCCAAATGACTATCATGAAGAAAGTAGTGAGGAAGATGCCCAGACAGGGAGGAACTGTGTCCTGTGATTTCCCACGTGCTTTCCTGGCACATGTTATAAGTGGACACCTTAGTTATTGTAAAGTACCCTTCTGGTGTTTCAGGGTTGAGTCTAGGTGGCAGTCACAATGCTGGTCTCCCAAGTTCTCCTCAGCATATTCACCCCAAAGTGCCTGGGCTTTGGGCAGACACACCCTGTATTTAAGCCCCTGAGGGTGTCTGAAGAAAAGTATTTTCTCAAGAGCATGTGCGCGTTTATCTAATCCCACCTGACAAGAGGTAGCCTACTTTGAAGGAGTGCTCTTCCTGATGCTAACATAGCTGACTTTGTCCACTTGATTTTCAGTATGCCATGTTTTTGTCCCTGGTGTTCCTGGCTGAGCTCGTGGCTGGCATTTCAGGGTTTGTGTTTCGTCATGAGGTGAGTATTCAGAAACTGGAGAACTTATTCAGATGGTCTCTGGAAGGAGTAGTGTTGAAACCTTTGGAAATGTGGAAAGAGTGCCTATTGTGCGTTTCCCTGGTGACATTGCTCTTCTTCAAATGTAACCTATGAGGAGCTGAAATGCCAAGAAAAGTGGTTAAGGCAGGAATTTCACCAAGCTTGAAACCTTAGCTAATGAGTCACATTTCTATTGCATAAAATTATTTCCCATCCGCTTTTAAAGCAGCCGCCTACAATGTCAGTCAAATCTTCCTTTTTAAAGAGCTGCTTACATCTGTATCTGTGTAAGAAGGGTTTCTGAGCCTTCAAATTCAAGCCGAACGAGTAGTGCTGACTTAGTGAATTTGTTATTGCTCTCCTTAAATAACTATTTAACTATAGCCAGAGATATGTGTTATAAACAGATGTGAAATAGCATGATATAGATAGGAAACACAGCAAGATAGTTGCTATGTCTCTTTAAAGTCTGCCATCATTTATTCTCAGACCCTGTTATTGTGCTGAGAGTCAGAAGTAAAAGTCATTGCCTTGGAGTCAGAACCAACTCATAGCTGACTCTCCAGCAGGTTTTCAGAGGCTATAATTGGACACAGGAGTGTGCCCATTTTTCACCCACAGAGCAGCTGGTGGATTGAAATCGCCCACCTTGGGGTTGGCAAGGCAGCTCCTTACCACTAAGCCACCAGAACTCCCCATGCTCAGCCAAGTTCAGTTCCCATGGAGCTTGCCTTATGTGCTTTCTGCTTCATTCTCTGTTGCCTTGCTTTTTCCTTTTATTGGAGCTGGTTTCCAGAACCCATTCTATATGGGTGTCGCTTACAGAGTTAGATGCTTCCTACCTGTCCACTGGTGAGGTCAGGCCTGCTAAAGTCACAGCGTCAAGCAGCCCCGGATGTGCTCCTGGTGTGATGTGACCTCCAGGGGCAGCTGCTTTGCTCCCCCCTGAGCCTCTGCTCACCTGCCTCCTGTGTGCATCAGCATCTCTGCTCCACGTCAGAGTTTTTCTCTTAATGGTTTCCACTAACTAGGGCATGGAAATCCTCATCTACCTGACCTCTTTTCATTGGAAATATTTAGAGTAGGTGTTGTGAGCCCACTCTTAGAAGATTTTACTGCTTCACCTAGAAAGCTGGTGCTGCTGTTGTTGTTGTTGTTGTTGTGTGCTGTGGAGTCGTGGAGTTGGAACTGGTCCGTAACTGACCCTCCAGTGGGTGCCCCCACTCCTGCAGTTAATTGAATGGGAGGAGATAGACGGTAGGTTAAGGTTAAACAAGCAAACAAAGAAAACCCAACTCATTGCTGTCAAGTTGGAACTGACTTGGAATTGACCCTCCAGGGGGTTTTTGGAGACTATATGCAGATTGCCTTTCCTGCACCCTCAGAGCCATTGGTAGATTTGAACTGCCAGAGAGTTAATAAATACTTTTGTGTTAGCAGCACAACTCCCAACAGACTGTGCCACCAGAGCTCCCTAGGTTGTGCTCAGCACCAGTTTACTGAGAAGGACGGAGTCAAGGGCGCACTGCTGGCCTGCAGCATAGCCAGTGCTGGCTTGTCTCTTCAGCAGACATTCTCACAATGGTCTCGGCCTTATTCTGTGTCCACCTCAGACAGTTCAGGTCTACACACGAGAGAACTCAAAACCCAAGCCAGACTCACTACCATCAAGTCCAAGTTGACTCATAGTTACCCTGTGGGATAGAGTAAAACTGTAGAGTTGCCAAGGCCTCATCTTTCTCCCAGGGAGCAGCTCGGTGGCTTTTGAGTCAGTGGCCTTTTGGTTAGCAGCCATATTCTTTAACCACTGCATCACCAAAGACAACTGAGACATGAGGAAATGAGACCACATGGATGAGTGTAGTGACTTCATGTGTCTCGTAACCATCCCCTGAACATAGCTTCTAGTTTCCTAGCGTGGAACATGCTCAGCTACAAGAATCACTGTGCTTAGCCCTCAGTTTCCCACCAGCTAATTAGTGTCATTTGTAGCTCTCCCAGTACAGAAGTGTTTTACTATAAGCAGTGTTGCCTGGTAACACACCTGACACTCCACCTTCATCAAGTTTCCAGGGAAACCAAGCTTGAAAGTTAACCCAAGATCAAATGTGTTTGCAGAGAAGCAGAAAGGATTCTGTTAACTCTTTATTATCATAAGTAATCCTTGTCCTTTAACCTCCTCCTCACCAACCTGTTTCTTTCTTTTTTTTTTTTTTAATTTTTGACCTCAATAAAGACAAGTAAAACTTGGTTTTACTTCACTTCTGTATGATACAATAGAGAGAAACTTTTGGTCAAAAAGTCTACCAGCTCCCTAAGTGGCCTGTCCTTTATCATTATCATTCTTCTGAATAAGAAGAGAATTTATGGAAAGAAGGATGGACATTGATTAATTCATTTAAAGAAATAACTCAAATACTAGGACCTGGGATTTGGCAGCTCCCCATCACATCCCTTTCAGAAAGCAGCTCACCACCTCATACAAGCCAGGCTTCCATTTGGGAAGGGAGCAAGTGGAACCATTTTGTTTAGTTTTGTTTTTCATTCGCAAGCTAATCAACTGCTTGGAGAATTGTCTGAGCTCTTATGGGCGCATTCCTCCCCTGGCTGATAGTTTAAGACATTCAGAAGCGGCTATTTTGGGATCAGCAGTGGTATATCTTTGAGTTGGTTGGGCTGCAGTGGACTGGAACCACATCTCTCTTTGTCTTCCATAGATCAAGGACACCTTCCTAAGGACTTACACGGATGCCATGCAGAATTACAATGGAAATGACGAACGGAGCCGGGCAGTGGATCACGTGCAGCGTAGTGTAAGTTAAAGGACAGGACATTGGGAGGAAACAGCCTGTGACATCTGTGCTTAGATTTGTTGTTTGCTACCGCCCCCCACACCCACCCCCACCTGCGCATTGCGATTTCAGTGAAAGTTTAAGTCTAACTTGTTTTCCATTCAACCATACATATTTTATCGCATTGATTACAATATTCATAATGTAAATGACTCTCTTTTCACTTCCTCTGTATAGTTCTTATTTCCTTCAATCTTTCTATCCTACCTTTTCCTACCTCTGGGCTTTGATTCTTGTTCTCCAACCCTTCAACCAGTCCTATTTCCAGGGATTGGCATCCAGTACTTGTGTAGGTGCCAGGTATCCAGCCAATTAGTGTCAAGAAGGACCACTCCCTCCAGTGTGCCTTTCATCGTTAAGATTAAAAAGTGTGTAACTTCTCATTTCTGAGGAGTGCACAAATTTCCTGTTCAAAAGCTGAAGCCATGTGATTTTTCTTAACCCAAGTGATAATAAATCAGCAGTACTCAAAACTTCTTACATTTTTAAATTGAAAACAAATACAGCTTTTTGCCAATGTGAATTTAGAGAATTTCGATCACAAATTGGTCACATATTTAGGAAATCGTTGTATATATACTTTGGATATGTCTTCAAGGCAAAATTATCCCTCAAATAATGATGGATTCGTTTACTAAAGCACAGCCGTATGCGGTTTTTTAGTACATATTATCTTGAGAATTTAGAAAATCCATTTTTATGACATATATGCAGTTGTATACAGATCAAGCCCTTCGTAATACATGGTATACCACACAGATCACAAGTACTGAGGAATAAAAGCACCTGTTTGCTTTGGCAATTGTTTTCAGATGGTTTTCTGTGTTCAAATCCTCTGATATCAGTATGTACTTAAGGATTTTAGAGATCTGTGGATTAAATAATGTCCCTCATTATTCACCATTCCCAGGAAGGTGAAGTTCAGAGATACATATTAATTTATATTTCCCAGGTACCAGCATCGCCAAGGACTTTGAGTGTATTGATTTCCATCTCAGACTTAGAGTGGACATTTCCCTTTATTTCCATGCGTTACTATGTTTTACATTCTTTCATCAGAGGAATTGCTCGGTATATCTACTGTAACAATCTAAAGATTTGTAAAAATGTTAAGCATAGTTCATTAAAAAGAATAAAATGAGTCTTAGAAAAGTAAAAAAAAAAAAAAAAAGAATTGTGAGCATCCCATGCAAAGCTAGTTTGCCCTTAAGATCTGAACTCTGGAATATAGGCAGTAAATGTATGACAGCCTAGCTTAGGGCTGGCTCCTGCAGCCTGGCTTTCCAGAAGTAGTATCTCTGGGCTGAGTAGAGAGAGCTCTGTTGTTGTTGTTGGGTGCTATTGAGTTGGAACCAACTCATAGTTAACCCTCCAGTGGGTTTTCAGAGATAGTTCATCTCACGAAATAAGATTGCCCATCATTCTACAGAGATGTGTGCCTTTGGGAATGCAGCACAGCTTCTTACCACTAAGCCACCAGAAAGAGCTCTGGTGATGTGCTTTGGCAGTGTAGTGGGGGTAGAGAGTGGACATAACAGAGAACCAAGGATCTGTGCATGTATGTGAGTGGCCTAAGATACTTGGTACTTACAGTGGACATGAAGGAAATAGAAAAGTTGTTTCCTGTCTGGAGGCAGTGGCCAGGAATAGTGGCTAAGCCTGGCTGCCTCTCATATTCACCTGGGCAGTTCCTGTTGTCTTTTAACTTCAGAAACAGCATTTCTATTTTGTTGGTAATAACATTTTTAGCAAATACAAAGTGTATGCCTTTTACCCAGATCCATCAGTGGCTTAGATTTTCACCCTATTTGCTTTAATGTTCCATAATATCAGGGAGCAGCAAACCTTGTCTATAAGGAATTAATTGTAAATAATTTAGGCTTTGAGGACCATCTGGTCTCTGTCACAGCCACTCACCTCTGGCACTGTAGCAAGAAAGCCACCCTAGACAATACATAAATAAATAGTCATGGTCATGCCCCAGTAAAACTTTATTTACCAAAACTGGCAGCAGATAGGCAGTAGTTTGCCAACAGCTGCACCGTTTCTATGTATGCCAATATGTTTCCAAAGCCATTCATTTACTTATCCTCTAGAAAATAGATCTGGAAAGAAACTTTTCTTTCTCCCTTTCCTGCTACATTTATGTGTGTGTGTTGGATCTGGAGGGAAACTTTTCTTTTTCTTTCTCCCTTTCCTGCTCTGTGTGTGTGTGTGTGTGTGTGTGTGTGTGTGTGTGTGTGTGTGTGTGTGTTGGAATTTACCGAGCAAATTGGTTTTCCATTCAACCATTCATATGTATTTTGTGGTGGAGTATTTTTCCCCCAAAACACCATTGTCTTGCCTGCCCTGTCAACAGTCCTGTATCTTTAACACCCAACTCACACGTATTTTTGATGCTCAGTCAAGACTGAGAACCCCTGTTTTGTGGAAGTGCTAAGAAAGCTCCCATGATATATCATCTAGAACTAAATTCCTTCTCTGAGCTCACATGGGCATTGCAGTGAATATGATTGTTAGTGGATGGAGCTTCGTTTCATCTGTACCCATCAAACCTGTGAACATTGCCTTAAGGGCTTGGCCTGGGTTTCTCTTTTTAAAATTGCAGGGCAATGAGTGAGGAGACCACAATTCCTTTGATCTGCCACTCTTTGATGCCTTTTCTTCTCCTATTAATAGCTGAGCTGCTGTGGCGTGCAGAACTACACCAACTGGAGCACCAGCCCCTACTTCCTGGATCATGGCATCCCCCCTAGTTGCTGCATGAACGACACTGACTGTAACCCCCAGGATCTACACAATCTGACTGTGGCTGCCACCAAAGTTAACCAGAAGGTACCTTCCAGCCCTAATGAGATCAGTGCTGAATGTTTGGGGGAGAACTAGTTGTATTTTTTTGGGGGGGGAGTTATGTATGTGTCTGTAAAATGATGACAAATAGATTAGAAATGATAGTCCAAGGAGTCAAGAGTCTTCTTTTGTGGTCCTTTATTACCTAGAGAGGCACTTAAGGCCGCCCACTTGTGCAAGAGGAGCTGGTGACTCAGCCGCAAATTCCTCTCGCTCAGCAAGAATCCGCCGGGCTGTTAGGAAGGTTTAGCAAGTGGTTCCTGTTAACTGTGATGCTTATGTCAGACAGAGAATGTTGGCTTTCTTCTTTCTGGGTGTCTTTCTTCTGTTTAATATGCCTTCCAAACATTAAATCATTCGCAGCTGGATGCCAGTCTTTAGGCAGAAGAGAGGAATGGAGTTGACAGACAGCATCTGCTTCTGCTAGGAGGGTGGCCTTGATTTTAGAGAATTCATTGCTGTAGGAAACAAAATAAGCACTCGGCTGCCAACCGAAAGGCCAGCTGCTCGAACCTCCCAGCTACTTCCGAAGGAGAAGAGACCTGGTGATCTGCTTCAGTAAAGATTACAGCCTTGATAACCTGGTGGGGTCACCCTACACTGCCACATGTCATCATTTTGAGTCGGAATTGACAGTACACAGCAGCGACACGATCACCACACCATCAGCATCTTGACTTCCAAAAACCTTTCAGGAAAAAGATGATTAAGAGAAATGTAAAGATACATAGTAGGAATGAAGGAGGTGACATTTCAAAAGAAAGTAAAAAGGAAAATCACCTCTGCGGTCCACTTCACAGAAAACGCAATGAAGTCACCATGCAGCAAGTGTGAAGGCCATCTACAGTTTTCCTCTTTTAAAGAAACACCAGACAGAAACTGTATGCTAAAGCAAAAATGAGGGAAAACCTCTGGTTATCCAGCCATGGGGTAAATATTATCTTACTAAAATAACATCATCATGGTGATGACGGTGAACCTTACTTTCCAATTGCACGGTGTGGCTGCCGTGAGAAATGATGTACTGTAGCAGGGCCTTTCAGGGAAGATCTTCCATTAGGACCTGAAAGCAATTTTGAAGGCACATTCCAGAAGTGATCAATTATTCCCAGAAAGAGGATAACCTTTTTTCATTTCCTTGAAAAATTATAAGCTGTCTTCACTCTCTGCCTCCCCTCCCCACAACCCCTCAACCCTATGTGTCATTTCCCTGAGCAACGCAGATACCTAAGAAAGGTGCTTAACATGGCTCTCACTTTCCTTATCCCTCCCACATTAAGAAAATGGAGTTTCACGAAACAGCCTCCTTTAATGTGTTCATAAACCCTGAGAAAAATTATTTCTCCTGTCTGGGTCTCAGACACCTCATGTTGAAAAGATGGGCTATGAGGATGGGGTAGATTTAGTGATAGCAGATGCTCATAGAAGTCAGTTCCTAAAAAAAAAAAAAAAAAAGAAGAAGAAGAAGTCAGTTCCTCTGCCTATCTTCTCCCTCCCCTAGGAGGCTTACCTGCTGCTATATTCTAGTTGCTAGAAGATGCAACCCTATTGTTTAGACTAAATGGATCGATCATCACTGTATTTATTTTGATGTCTAGAGTCCTGTATTCTCATAGTACAGAAAGAGAAATCTTAAGTCTTACCTGGAAGCCTGGGAAACCTACCTTGTAGAGATAACTAGGAGAGAGCAGAAGGAAATTGTGAAATCAAATATTTTTTGTTTTAGGGGCAAGTATTACTTGGGTTTTGATGCTCCACCTCACATATTTTGGACATGTTACCAGGAGGGACCAGTACTTGGAGAAGAACATCATGCTTGGAAGGGTGGAGAACGGGTCAGGAGAGGAAGACGCAGGATGAGATGGATTGACACAGTAACTGGGGTAATAGGGGGTAGGTGTGTCAGAGAAGGCGAGACTGGCTCAGGATAGGGCAGGCTTCAGAGCTGTTGTACATAGGGCTGCTGTAAGTTAAAGCTGACTTAACAGCACACAACAACAATTATTCGGGTTAGCTAGCAAGGCAAGATGATTACACATTTGCGTGTTCAATTGGCTTATAGCATCATCTGAGCCTCTACTCCACAGGGATTCCTAGAAATTTGATAAGAGCAGAGCATTCGCACAGCTACCAAAACACTTCTTCCCAGAATCTGTCTAGGTTTTTCTGTCTCCTGCTAATATCGAGAATCCATCACCTGCCCATGTTTTCCATTGGCCACTATGTCGATTTACACTCACCAAGAGAGCGAGCAAATGAACTGTTCTGTTTCTGAATGTCTCCTAGAATGCTCAACAGGTATCCACAAGTGCATCTTGCACAGTGCCAGAAAATCAGGCTTTGATTTCAATAAATTAAAGGAGAAGTTATAGCCAGATGAGATCTGTTAGTGGAAAATTTAAGGTTGAGTACAAACCTGACTTGTGGTTGTAGGATCAGAGTGATCCTTGCAGACCTATGCTGAGCCCTGGAAGTGAGATTTTTTTTTTTTTTGAGTCTCCATACTGAATGAGAGAGAAGACTCTGGACATATAAAAGGACCTATTTCCACATTAGGCTTGTACTGTTTACATAACAACTAGGAAAATCATGTTTACCTTTTCATTTTTAACAGTCATGTACTGATTTATGAATTTATTTTCTTATTTGGAGCAAGAAAACTATTGAGACAGAAACAGCTGGGGCAGAGCATGAGAATTTACATTTCTAACCTGTTCCCTGATGATACTGGTGCTGCTCATCCAAGAACCACCCTTTGAAGAGGGAGATTTAGAGAGAATAATTTTGCCACAAACACATTAATGTCAAGCAGTTACTTCATTTCTCTGGCTCACTGGAGTGGGGGTATAAAAAAATAATACAAGTGAAACCAATCCTCGACTTCCTATGGAATGAAAAGAGGCCTCAAATACCAAAAGCAATGTTGAAAGATAAACATAGAGTAGTCTCACACGTCTTGATTTGAAAAGATATTTTATAGCTACAGCAATCAAAGCAGTATGGCATAACAATATGTATGTACATCAGTAGAATAGAATTGACAATCTAGAAATAAACCCATACATACATACATGCTCAACTGATATTTTTTGTACAAGGACAGAAGAGGCTCCTCAAGAAATAGTACTGGGAAAGTTGGATTTCCACAAGCAGAAAAAAATGGGATCCATAGATTGGACCATGCACAAAAATGAATTCAAAATGAAATAAAAAACCGAGCTCACTGCTGTAGAGTCCATTCCAACCCTCCATCTGGTTTCTGAGGCTGTAAATCTTTATAGGAAGAGATTGACTGCCATTCTCCCATGGAACATCTGGTGGATTCGAACTTCTGACCTTTTTTCTTTAACAGCCTTGCATATTATACACTATGCTACCAGAGAACTTTCAAAATGGCTTAAGGACCTAAAGATGTAACTAAAACCACAAAATTCTTAGAAGAAAAAGCAGAGCCTAGCTTTTAATCTAATACAATAACAAAAACACAAACAACAAAAGGCAAAGTAAATGGTCCCTAATAAAAAATTAAAACTATATTCATCAGGTACTGAGGAGCAACAATGTCAGTCTGGAAATTAAGGTGCACTTGATCCAGGCCATGGTCTTTGCAATTACTTGCTATGTATCAGAGAGCTGGACAGTGACTAGGGATGATAGAAGGAGAACTGATGCCTTTGAGCTGTGGTGTTGGAGAAGAGTATTGAATATACTATGGACTGCTAGGAGACAAACAAGTTCATCCTGGAGAGGGTGAAGTCAGGCTGCACCTTGGAACAAGGATTCTGAAGTTTCGTCTGACACACTTTGGACATGTTGCCAGGTGGGATCAGTCCTTGGAGAGGGACATCATGCTTGGGATGGTGGAGGGACAGCACAGGAAAGGAAGACCTTCGATGAGAGGATTAATTCTGTCACTGGGGTAATGGGGGTGGGTGTGTCAGAGACAATAAGATTGACAAGGGCTGTTGTACACAGGGTCACTATGAGTCTCAATGGCAACTCAATGGCACATAACAACAACATATTCATCAGAAGACTTTACTCAAAAAATCAAAAAGGCAAGCTGCTGACTGAGAAACTACATAACCTACAAGAATCTTTTTGTTTGTTTGTTTGTTTTTAACCTATAAGAATCTTATAAACAAAAGAAATAGAAAATGTCCACAACTTAACAAAAAAACACTTGAGCCAATTACAAAATGGGCAAAGGACTTGAGTAGATTTTTCACCAAAGAGGACATTCAAATGGCCATAAAACACATGAAAAAAATGATCACTGTTATTTATTAGCCATCAGAGAGTTGCAAAAAAAAAAAAATCGAAATGACATGTTCTTATACTCCCACTATACTGGCAGTTAGGAAAAGAGGAGATGTATTGACAGTTACTTTTTCTTTAATATTCCTGAAAAACTCCAGTTCCTGTATTCCAAGTTCATAAGATTCCCTATGTTAAGTTTCCTCCTCTCCTGGCACCCACAATGCTCCAGATCTGGGGGTGATGTTATCAGTTCCATTTATTAAGACTTCAATGAGGTGGAGGGAGTCTCTCTGACCATTTTGAGTAGCTTTGAGGGGTGCTTCCCTGACCCCTTAGCTTGGCCTTAGTGTTTTCACTGAGAAATGATGTAATTTTGCAGACTAAGATGAACCTGATTTGGACCATGGTTTTCTCAGTCACCTGCTACACATCAGAGAGCTGGACAGCGAGTAAGGATGACAGAAGAATTATTGACGCCTTTGAGTTGTGTTGCTGGAAAAGACTACTGAATATCCCATGGATTGCCAAAAGAACAAATAGATATGTCTCGGGGAAAAGTGCAGCCAGAGTTCACCTTAGAGGCAAAGACGGCAAAGCTTTCTCTTTCATACTTTGGACATGTTGCAGGGAGAGACCAGTCCTTGAAGAGGGACATCATGCTTGGGGGGGTGGAGGGACAGTACAATAGAGGAAGACCTTCAATGAGATGGATTGACTCAGTGACTGGGGTAATGGGAGTAGGTGTGTCGGAGACAATGAGATTGGCACAGGATACAGCAGGGTGACTCGACAGCACATTACAACAACAACAATGAGCAATATTAAAAATTAGATGCTTTTTTGGGGGGAGTTCGAATATTATTAAAAGTTAATGTGCCTTTTTGGATAAACAGAAAGCATCCTTATCATGTTTGTTAAATTAGGGGGTTATCTTTTCACAGACTTTATATAGTCAAGTCGAAGCCCTTTTTAGAAATCTAAAAAAAGACCCAATTTTCTGAGACTGAATAAATCAGGTCAGGTCACCTAGGTTGATTTGACTTGGGGACAGGGTCTCATGTGCACAGGAAGATTCAGCCTTCACTTTTGGATTGTAAGTGATGCACAAAATTTGGTGTCTCCTACTTGAACCTGTTGTTGTTGTTCATTGTCATCAACATGGAACAGATTCATAACTGACCGTCCAGTAAGCTTTTGGAAGAGACTGTTCAACTTATTCCCACAAAATAACTGGTAGATCCAAGCTACTAGTCATGGAGTTAACACTGCAACTCCCTACTGCCTAGGTTGCAAAACTAATCCAGATAACAACACATTTATCAGTACTATTGAGTAGCAGCTAAGATCATTGTTTTTCTAAAGAAAAGCAATTATCAGCTTTAAACCAGCATTGAAATAGGTGGTCACTGTTGGCTTTGATCATGGACATTTAACGATTTCCCGTTATGTTAAAGCAAAATTCACCTCCTTTTATTAATATATCAAAAAAAGAAAGTAACTTACTTGATCCAGGTAGCAAATTAATGGAAAAGAACTCTAGAATGTAAGTTCTTCTTACTTCAAATACCTTAGTAGCCTCCATAGGTAGAAGCCTAACTCAATAAAGTCCAGGAATTCAGGCACCTCCAGCAAGATAATTTTTGTTTGTTTGTTTAATCCAAAACTCTCTCATTTGTTGTTTAAATTCTGGTAATTATCCTCATGATGGTAAATCTTCCTGTTTAGGGATGTGGAATGCCTTTTCAGCTGTTCAAAGCCTACTTTTAGTGTATTCTTTATAGGCCTTACAGCGTATTTTAATCCTACCCCATGAAGTGATATGTCTGGTATTTGCTTTCTAATGTTCCAGTGGGCAGATGGGAATCAAGATGTTTAGTGAAATACTACTGGCCATATGTTGTGACGTTTAGGGAAAAGGTCACATGGGGATTTGTTGTACTACTCTCTATACGTATTTTGGTGTGTTTGAAAAGTTTTCCATATTTTTGTTATGCTGTAAAAGAATGCTAGTTCAATTCTTAGGTCAGTGGTAATTGTATATATTGAATTAAGGTTGGTGTCCATGAAGTTGTGGTGAGATGGCATTTACTCCACAGCGTCTGCTTAATTGGAGTACTGGTAGCTCAGTGGTAGAATTGTCATCCTCCATCTGAGAGGCTGGGTTAGATTCCTATACCACCAATCTATCAGTGATGCTGAGCAGGTATCGGCGTAGCTTCCAGAATAAGATCGAGTATGAAGAAAGGCCTAGTATACTTCTGATAAGAATCATAATGGCCCAATCTGTAGGTGATCATAGCAAGGACTGGGTATTGGGCACAGGGTCAGTACGAAGTCACGAGCTAACTTCAAAACTGTCAATAATAACAGCATGTAGCAGTTTTGCATATGAACACAGTTCAGCCAGACCTGGGTAAAACATGTCTCAGAGACCATCCCTTTCTGTTTCCAGGGTTGTTATGATCTGGTGACCAGCTTCATGGAGACCAACATGGGAATCATCGCTGGAGTGGCTTTTGGAATTGCATTCTCCCAGGTATCTTCTTGTAATTGTGTGTCACCTGGTCTGCCCTTTGTTCCTCCCCTGCTTGCCTTTTCTCTCCCTGGTTTCCAGACGCCCGGCCTGCCTCCCTGTGCCTTGGGAAAGGCTGATAGATGGGGTCAGAGCGCCTTGCTCATTAGTCCTTAGGTCATCTGTTTATTGATTTTCCTTTTTCAACTTAAATGAAGTTTTGCCATCAAGGGAATACTGGTTGCAGTTCAACTAATGACTAGCCCCAAAAAAACAACTTGTTTCTTCTGTAGGTCAAATGGAGGTTAACTGAACAAAGTGCTGGCTTAATTGGAGCATAAACAACTCAAAACATCAAATGGCCGATTTGGATTTGGGAGACAGTCCCCCCCCACACTTATCCCTTTTTTCTTTTTGGAGTTCCTGTGGATTAAGCAGGCTGATCTCTTCATTTTAAGGAAAGCCTCAATTCTGCAAACTTCATTTTGTAGTCCTTATTTTAACTCCAAGTTTGCAACTGAATTTGTGTGTGTGTTAATTTTATTTCCCTTTCTCTCCACTCAGCCTTCAATACAACACGGAAGCACTCATTATGCAAATTTAGTGAACCACACTCACGGATGGAGTAAAATTAAGCTCAATCTAAAAATGTACCACCCCATACACCTCTGATCTCTCAACCAGCTGGTATATTATTGATATGAGATCTTTGTAACTGGAAGGACAGACGGATATAGTTAGCAACCAAGTATAATCTTCACTTATATTTAACTCAAATATTTTTTTCCAGATTAATAGATGTTTTTCAAGCCCAGCAATGGTATCTCTGTGTGATCCCATAGCTGTGATTTTTACCTGACAAAATGGTATATTGGCTGTCCTCTCAAACTACAAAGATTTTTTTTTTTCGGCTCGTATAAGCACTTTCATTCTGTTCAAGCTTCTTTGTTAAATGTTTTTAATTGAAATAATGGTGTATACTGAGAACGGCATAAATTACAAATCCACAGTATAATAAATGATTGCAAAATAGCAATACCTGTGTAGGAGTCAGGGAATTGAGCATGAACCTGTTAATTTGATTTGGTCAGTAAACGACTTAGCCTTAGAGAAGAAGTATTATTTTCTTCCCCAGCAGATATCAAACGCTGTGTGGTATTTTCATCTCACAAGAGCATGTAGACTCAGCCAGCACAAGTGGGTATTACTGACTGCAGTTTTAACACTCTCTTTTACCCAGGCTTCATTTGTGGTGAATGACGCCCTGGACACACAAACCCACAGATGAGCCAGAGTGGTGTCGCAAACAATTCCAATTAACAAAGCCTCTAGAGACATTTCAAAAGCAATTGCTGCTGTGAACTTTATTCCAGTTGCCACAATAGTTCTGTCATAGCACTTTGGGAGCATCGCTGGGATGGTGGAGGAGGAGCACTTTGGAGGATTAGTGTGATGGTATTAGTGTGACTGATGCAAATGTGCAGGAGGTGCTTGACAGCCTTGAAAATCCAGTGGACTTAACACATGTAGGTGTAGCACCAGATCATTAGCACAGAAAGGACAGGCATCTGAACAGGACTGTCCCCTTGGTGGAAGGACTGTCTTGGAAGTCTCCATTAATGACTGTCATAGAACCATGCAGGGAGGTGAGGCCATCACTGTACATGGGAAGAATGCCGCTTCAACAAATCTGAGTTCCAGGGATGGACACTTACCACCTGAGAATATTCTCACCTGTAGATCAGGGAGTTCTGGTGGATTAGTGGTAAGAAGTTAAGAGCTGCACTGCCAACTCGATACAAAGGCAGTTCAAATCCACCAGATGTTCCGCTGGAGAAAGATAGGCAGTCTCCTCCCCTACAATTTACCGCCTCTGAAAACCCACAGGAGGGTCAGCTATGAGCCATTTCTGACTCTCAAAAGTACATAACAATAAACTACGCATGGGTTAGGGAAGAGGAGGGAGGGGAAAAAGAAGTTGTAGATTTTGAAGAGAGGATCTTATTTTCATAAGTGAGGCTGATTAATACCACTCTCCACTTTTCACACACACATCTCTGTGGTAACATACTACAAATAGCTTGCTTTTCAATTGGTTATCTGAACTGATGTCCTGAATCTCTTTGTGCTTCCTAGAAGAAATTCCTGACAGTGATTGTTGGCTTGGCCCTGTTCTCTGGGGCAGTGAAAGAGGGGCTTTGGCTTCAAGGGGCCACAAAACAAGAACATCCGCAAAGTTCCATTATCACCAATACAGTATATCATTGCAGGGATAAGAAAGCACCCGGTAGCATCACACAGCCAGGACACTTAACCCAGAGCCATGTAGGTCCAACAGGCAGGGGCCTGAGACCCTGGAGTGTGTGGGTGGATTGTGCGCGCATGTGCACCTGCATATACTCAGCCAAGACCAGGGAGAGTAAAGACCAGATGTTGCTGGCACTGTAAGTAGCCTCAAGCTCCCTGGAAGCAGAAGTTGACCTCCAGATGATGATAGATCCTGGACCTCCCTGAGACAGTGGTGGCCACTTACCAGATGTCTGTTCAGGAAGAACTAGCCCTACAGATTTTGGTCGGTGACCAGAAACCAACTATGAGCTTTAATTATGAACTTTGGCCATTATTTTAGAGCTTATCTCATGGCAAGAATTTGACAAATATTAGTGGATCTTGAAAAGTGTTCAGGTCTTTCATTCATTGGGTCGCTATGAGTTGTCTACAATTAAATGGCACTTAACAACAACAACAGAGAGAGAGCTCTGTTGGGCTAGTGGATAGAGAGTTATACTACCAAACCGAAACTGTGTGATTTTAATCTGTGGTCCTCAGGCCTGGTTTTGTTTTTCATCAAACATTCTTCTAAGTGGTATAGCACTGGTCTGTCCATTTGCTGTACAGAGGTAACTCATGTTTGCTGTAATGCTGAACACCGTGACACTGATGGTTATCCATGGTGGACAGTGTTTGGTGGAGCTCCCCAATTAAAACAAGCTTGGAAGGAGGAGTGACATTCACTTCCCTAATAGCTTGCCTCCAGAAACCCTATGAACCTGGAGAAATGATGAAAGCTATACAAGTGTTCAGGTTCATAGGGTCATTATGACTCCACATCACTTAACAGCAACAGAGGAAAAAATCTTAATCGTCCTTATGTTTGGAAAAATGAAGGGTCAATGAAAGAGAGGAAGACCTCTAAATGAGATGGATTGACAGTGACTGCAGCAATGGGCTCAAGTGTGTCAGAGATGATGAATAGGCACAAGATAGGACAGGGTTCAGGTCTGTTGTTCATAGGGTTGCCATGAGTGATACTTAATGGCACCTAACAACAACAACAACACAACTGAGGAGAGGCTAAAGTGTTGTGTGCCATTCTGTTGGAACTGACCCATGGCTGACAATCCAGTGGATTTCCAGAGGCAAAAGAGGAGATTGCTCATCTTTCTTCCTCTGAGCAGCCTGTGGATTTAGAAGCACTGGTCTTTGCATTTTCAGCACAACTCATCGCCAACTACACCATGAAAGCGACAGGTTAAAGTAGTAGGTAGAATGCAGAAACTCTTTTGCTTTCCTTCTCCTTTCTCTTTGCCAAGTCTGCTCTTGTGACTTCCAGACTATCATTTGTTGGATAAAATAGACCTTGCATTTTTGTTGTCTCACAGGTTAAAGGGAGTAAAAGATAAAAGAAAAATGGAGCTATGTCCAGCCTTTTCCATCTTGTGCAAGTGTTTTAAAGACTGAATATACGTGTCCCCTTGGCTAATTTAAAGTCCTTGAAATTCAGTTATGCCCTTGAATTTATGTTCTGGACAGCAAGGCTTTGCCAAGCAGTTCATGCTTCTCTCTGTAAATGCCAGTTACTTCTCCCCTTTCAAGAAAAAGTCCATTTGTCTGTTGTTAATGGGCAGGTCCTGCTGCCTTGTAAATTTACAGCAAGAAGTTGAGATTTCTTTGATATTATGACTCTGTTTGGTACCTGTGTCAGCTACGCTTAGTCAGGAGGGCTTGGGGGCTGTAGCACACCTCTCTCTCTCTCTTTCTCTCTCCCTCCCTCTCCTTCTATTCCTCTCTCCCCCCCTCCCTCCCCCTTCCCTTGTGCTCTCTCTTGCTCTCTCTCGCTCTCTCTCTCACACACACACACACACACACACACACACACACACTGACCTGGAAGCCAAGTGTCTGGGGAGTGTGGGCCTGCATGCTTTTTCCTTCTCTTCAAAAATATTTTATTGTGTTTTCTGTGAAAGTTTATACAGCAAATTAGGTTCCCAACAATTGTTCAGTGACACCAATTCCTCTTTTCAAAGTGTGTCAACTTTCTCTTTATTTCCATTCTGAGTGTTCTCTTCTCTCCAGCAACCTCATTTCCCTGCTCCATTACCTTCTTGTCTTGTCTTGGCTTTAAGTGTTGACCATTTGTTCACATATAGATGATATTTGAAAGAATACAATGCTCAGGGGTGGTGTGGTTCAGCCCCTGGACTCACGTATTGCTCCATCTGTGGTGCTGCTGTGCTGTTTGCTGCCTTGATTTGGCCTTCTGCTGTCTGTGTGTGTAGGGCTGGGGAGCTCGACATTTAATACTTATATATTCGGTGTATATAAACTTTGCAAGACGTGAAACTTGGTCACAGAATATTATAGTCCAAAATGGGGACCCTAGAGCAGTTTCTAGAAGGGGAGAAGGATAGCAGTCCTGTTTGAGGTTGAGTGGTTACTCCTAGATCCAAGATTATAATTTAATACCTCCCCACCTGGTCAGCTGTATTTAGCCCATGTAAAAAGATCCAGGGCCATATGAGGATGGCCGTATCTGACTTTTATCAACCTCACAAAGGTGAACTGTTCCTGTCAACAGCAGCACTAACACAAAACCAATTCCTATGAGGTCAGGCGTATACCCCCTTGCTCCCATACCTCTTTCTTCTCATCTCAATACCAAGATTACTGCTTCATTGGGTCCAATATCTGATGTGATAGCTCACAGACCACACTGAACCATGTTGGGAAAGTCAAAAGGT